TGTGTGTGTGTGTGTGTGTGTGTGTGTGTGTGTGTGTGTGTGCATGGTTTTGTTACCTGGTGGGGACAATTTTTGACTATAATCCTGGTACGCACAACCTTGTGGAGACAAAATCCTGGCCCCCATTGGGAGATTGTTGGTGGGTCAGGGGTTCGGTTTAGGACTAATGTGTCCCACCTGCCACCTGATGGCTCCGCAGAGTTGGTAAATCTCTTAGGAAGCGCACTCTCGAGATCAGATCCAGTCCTGGGCCACTAAAGAGCTAGGCTATAGAAATAAATGGTAAATGAATGGAAGTAAATGCAAAGTCCCAATTTGGATAGAAGAACACACACGTGTGTGTGAGTGTGTGTCTGAATTAAACAGAGCGCTGGAGTAAATAATTTGTGCCAGTACTCCTCACTAATCTCACCATGTCTGCCTCTGCTGTTTAAATTTTCATCCTCCGTGTTTGAAATATCATTGTCTTCAGACGTTTGTTTACAACCAGCTGCACTCCACACGCTGTGGTCTCATCAGTCTTCATCACAAATAAATCTTATAAACGCCAGCTTTTCTGTTTCTCCTCTAAATCTTCTCTTTTCCGTTGCCTGAAGGCACTACTGAATATATTTGTTTACCGTTTTAGTCTTTATTGTAGAGGCAGTTTACATTATTTTGTGTGTGCTTTTAAAAGGAAAATCATTTCATACACGAGGAGCTCTTGGTCCAAAGAAGGTGTGGAGCTTTGTGGACTGAAAAATTTTCCGTTGTCTTGTTTTGAATTCCTAAGCAAGCAGAAGTATTGTTTTCTAATCTAACTGCAGACGTCAAAGAAAACAGGAAAACCCAGAGCAGTTTACTGATAGAAGTTTTGCGTACTGTGACTGAGATTCTGCTGCACACTCCTTGGTACCAAATCACATCCTGATCCACCTGAAGCTAATTATCTCATTAACTATCAAATTTGATAAATTGTATTGTCACCTCTGTGGTCTCATTGCTGACTCTCTAGCATGTTTCTTAAGTCTTTTTCATTCATTGGGTGTTTATCATATGTAGTACTGTAAACATAAATACTCACCTGCCTGCCCACTCTCCATCACCTCTGCTTTGTTCTCCTTACCAGGTCCTTCCTCTTCCTCCTCAAACCTGACAAGGAAAGAAAATAAGTAAAGCAAGTAAATCCTATAATAATGCTCACTTCTAGGGAAGTGACCCAGTCATTCTTCTTTGTACATGTTCAGGAACAGGAGAAGAAATAAAGCAAAAAACTTATAAAATAAACACACTATGGACTGCAGTACAGAAAGAAACTAACACAAAACTGGAGCTTAATCATAAAAACTTAAACCCGAATAAACTAAAATTCAAGAATACAATGAAACATGGTTTATGGTCATGTTTGTTGTTAAAATTACATACAAACTGCATTATATAGCATATTTTATGTATTTGTCAAGTCTGACTGATTTATATCAATAATATAATAATGATGTAATGAAAAATACAGACTGGCACCTCATCACCTACCACATCTGATACAAATTTTCAATATATTGTCGATTTTTATTTTATGTCTTTTATTTTACTAATTATTTAAAGTCACTGGGAGAAGTATTAATCAAAAGGGATTACTATCTTTAGTACTTTATTAAACTAATATTTGATCATTTAAATGATTAGTCTATTGCACTGATAATTACATTTGTTTAATTATTATTTCACATTTAAATGAAGATGAGAATGAGGCCATGTCATAATGAAATTACCTGCATAAACAAAAATTAATATTGTTTTATGTGTGGAACCTAAATATGGCAAGGTAATTGAATAAATGTTGAAAAATTAATCTTGAAGCAGCTTTATTATTAGACAGCTTTTTATATATTCACATGGAGTGTGAGGTTCAGTTATTTTATTTATTTATTTATTTTTTGTTCTTCAGATCTCTCTGTAGCTGCTTTGTTTACAGTTTGCTTTATGCAGCAGGGTAATTTACTTTCCTTCTTTTGCTCTCCCAAAAGATCTCAGTAATTTGAGTGCTTGCAGCAGTAAGTAACGATGGCAGAACACAGGAATGAAAAACATCTTCTAAGGCTTTTTTTTTTTGAAAGGTCAAACTTCACATCCTCACACACATAAAGCTTGTCAGCACACTCCTCTCATTATCTATGATTGTTCTCATTAACCCCTGTTACCCAGATGACTGATAGCAGTTACTGGAAGAAAGCCAGCAGCTGCTTCACTACAGTTAAAAGTCCCTCTCCAACATTTCATTCAGAACCATTTAACATCACAAACTGCTGCACCGAACAAAGGCTGATATGTACTGAAGAGAGAAAATAGTCTGGAATGAAAGAGTATCTGATCACTCATGTATGATTAGCCCCATCCATTGTGATCTGGAAGCTGTTCAGTCAGTGCTTAACGCTTTTTAAAAAAGACAATTAATTTAAGAAACGTTTAGCTTTTCTTTTACTCCCATAAAGGTAATAGTTTAGATCCTTTGAAGTACTGTAGGGAGGTTATGAACAGTCAGTATCTTATCTGTTTTAGATAGTTCTTTGAATGGGCGCAACGTGGAGAAATAATATTTATTTCTGATCAGGCTGTCAGGCTATTTGTTAGTACAATCAAAATTAAAACCAAAGTGCTTTGTTAGGACCCCCGCACACGAAGTGTAAGTGGGAGTCATATTGTTCTCGTGCTGTTTTGTTTTTTGTTTTGTTTTTTTCCAGTGATTTTTGGTCAACCGTAGCACAAAAACGGCTGCACCAATTAACATGAAATTTGGCAGGACTGTAGATGAATCTGACCTACATTGCGCCAACCAACGGTTTTATGATAGATCCCATATTTGAGGAGGGGGCTCCTTTCAAAGAGGGGGTGTCAGGACATGTAAAAATGCTTATAACTCTGAAACTGTTCAACATAGGAGCTTCAGATTTCTTTTGTTGTTTAGCTCTGATGAAGCTKTATCCATCAGGCCCACCAATCAGTGCCCACCCCCCACCCCCGGACCCCCAATTTATCTGAACAGGGGTAGCTGGACATACAAAAAAGGTTATTGCTCAAAAATTATTAAACATAGGAGCTTCAGTTTCTTTTACTGTTTAGCTATTCGTCAGGTCCACCAATCAGTGGCCCCACCCACCACCACCCCCCGGACCCCCAGTTTATCTGAAAAGGGGGTATCTGGACAAACAAAAATGGTTACAGCTCAAAAACTATTGAACATAGGAGCTTCAGTTTCTTTTACTGTTTAGCTATTCGTCAGGTCCACCAATCAGTGGCCCCACCCACCACCACCCCCCGGACCCCCAGTTTATCTGAAAAGGGGGTATCTGGACAAACAAAAATGGTTACAGCTCAAAAACTATTGAACATAGGAGCTTCAG